GGATGGATGGATGGATGGATGGATGGAGGGAGGGATGGATGGATGGATGGATGGATGATGGATGGATGGATGGTTGAATGGTTGGATGGATGGATGGATGGATGGATGGATGGTTGGATGGAAGGATGGACGGCGCTGTGCCACCCAGGCAAAATGAAGCTGTTTCGACCATCAAATAAACACATAATAAATGAGACAGGTCAGCGATGTCGTATAATAAATGCGACTTATACGCCGGAAAATACGGTATTATTGTACAGCGTTTATCAAATAACCACACAGACTTTAAAAGCTCCAGTCGTCTGAACGTTTTTTATTAAAATGTTCATTAAATGCACATCCCTCTTAAAAGCTGCCATTACTCGTAGGGAATCATTGCAGCAGAACAGCACTTAACTTAAATAATGGGATTTGGTTGTTTTTGTAGTTCCTGGATCATATTTACATTCTGTGCCGAGGGTTGAACTTAATTCATTTTCCAGCTTCCTGCGAATCCTGGGGCTGGTATGCTACTCCAACCTTCAAGAGGTCCTTGTTCTCACTGAAATTTGCTGACAGAGATTTATTCCACAAAATGTTCACTGGTCTTTTGTGTCTGACACAACACATTGACAACTGCACATAATAAAGACTATCAAATGTTCAATTTTTCTGAAAGCTGGCGAGAACGTATTTAATGTGGTGCACAAAGGAAAATTAATTTCATTTGGGTGCAATTTGATGAGATTTCATGCTTTACTGGTTTATAAGGATATTCAATTGGAGGGGGAAAAAAAAGCCCAAAATATTGTGACAAGTGATAAAAAAATCTTGCACTGTCAAGAGAATATTTCTTGTCAAGCTCCACCAAACAGGCTAAGCAAGAAAAGCAAAAAGCAGATTTTTGAGCGCGGGCCTGGCAAATCCATTTGGCTGGAGAAAAACGGGTTCCCACAAGCTCTAATTGAAATTCATGACACTGAGTACAAGAGTTGAAATTGCTTGGGAGGAACGAGGAATAGTGGCCTCGGAGGTTTGACCTGGTAAATAAATTGAACTGAATACAGACTACTTCAGTAATGCCAGAATAAACATATATAAATATCACAGCTGCTTGCACTGAGCACATCTGATGCGGGAAGGATAGTTTGAATTAACCTAAAAGGGTTCTCAGGACAACTGCAGCCGCATTTAATATTTAATAATGGGCAGAAACGTTTGCAACATGTTGATAAAGTAGTTCTAATCCTGTCGGTGACTTTTATTGATATACTTGGTGAATCAAAGAGGTTCGGTGTTGTTGCACAACGTCAATACTGTCATCGCTGGGTCAGAGGCTGAAATGGACCCCCACCCTGTCTGAGTAATGACCCTGCAAGCCCAATCTATCTCCACCAGAGCCTGCCGCTGATGACATACAGACACAAACTGGAAAAAATGAGCAGAAATCCTCAAGTGTTGCACTCCCGAACAGACACATCTTTCAAATGGCAACTTTTCTTTCCTAGTTTTTTTTATTCGTTTTTTTTACACGGAGTATTTTGTCTTTGTGCATGTGACAGAAACAAAAAAAAAACATTCCCCTGTTTTTCTGGCTATAGTCACCTGCTGCACCACCAGCTCTCACTCGCAGCTACATATGCTGATGGATGACGTCACTCACTCACCTTCAACCTCTCAGCTGTGCCACACCAGAACAAAATCCAGGATACCAGCAAAACAACCATGTGCAATGTTTTTAAATCAAATTACACATATTGTTATGTTCAACTATATGTATGCAAAAAATATTAATGCATATTTCTAGGTTGCACAGTCAGCAGCAGGAGAATCTCAGTTGACCGCACAGATTCTTGGTAAACTTTAAAACGCGATAGCCGGTTTCTTGTAAGTATATTTAATGAATAAATGGAAACTGCATAAAAAGACAGCTGACCTACATTAAAATCCTCTCAACTTTACCTGACTCACAGTTAAAATCCATTAACTTTGGCAAAAGATGAATGTAGAGATGGAAACAGCTAATGGTGGCAGACAACTGCTGTAAACTTTAACAACCAGCACTTGGAAACAGGAAATAAAACAACGTCTCAGCATAACAACAATGAAGCAATGGGCGTCACTAAATTATGCTCATAAAAGTTAATAAATTTACTCCCACTGATCAAAGATCTGACTTCTGTTTGAGACTCACCGTTTACTGAATCGAGCATCTCGGAGGTCTTCACTGCTTCGCTCGGTGGTTCATCTGGAAGCCTACGCAAAATTAAAAGCAGATTGTCATACCAGAAATGCTGTGGAAAATTAATTCCTGAACCACTGGATTTATTTTCACTGTTGAATTTAGCAGCACAAGTAATGATATTAACTCTGCCAGAAATACCAAATCAGTAACAAAACAAATGCAAAAATCAGTCATTATAGTTGTAGTGAACTTAATCTGGTGTCACGACTAAGCCTAAGGTCAAAACC